GGGTGTCTTTGTATGTATATGTAATGCTAGGACTAATATTCTCCAATGTAATACTCTCATTGTTTTTAGACCTCCAGGTTTAAAGCGTCAATAAGGAAACTTAACAAGACAGGCATATTAGAAGAAAAGTTACTCAAAACCCTTTGGAGAAAGAGTGGTATTGATTTGAACAACTTTGACACTTTTGTAGATTTGATGAAGCAGTTTAGTTTTCTTTGTGACAGAAAGACTCCTGAGGTAAATTTAGCGTCATGAGACGCAAGTACATGACAAAGACTACAACACCTCTATTATACAGTTAATCAATATATTTAATGTTCTTTTCATGATACACTTAGGCGAGACGAAAATGAAAATATCTTTCTTTTGTATAAGAATTATATAGATACTGAATTGCTATTTAAAATGAGAAAGTACATTATTATATCGACTTTTAATGTGTCACAGTTTAGGATAATTTGGTTGTAGTTCGTCTCTAAATTTTTTTTTTTTAAATTAAAACTTAGGATTATATTTATTATTATAGGCTAGAAATAGTAATACGTAAAATAACGTTTGTTATTTGTCGAGGTTCTTTTTAATTGACAGGTTATTAGTTAAAGTAATAGAGAAAGAAAGCAATACAATGATTACGAGTAAACTGCTTGCTTACAGGCCTCAGATGGAGCGCCTTCTTTCTTTGTTCCATTGCGACTTGCACTTGAACCCCCGACGTCCGGTAAGCAGAGAGATGTAGACAGTTACGGGACGCGCGCTATCAGCATTTTTCATGGTTTCCGTGGCTACCTGCCTGACGAGTTGTTTCCAATGATAGTCACCGAGTTCATTAACAGGTTTAAAGGGGAAGCAGAACCAGAATTGGCACATGATCGTGCTGAACTCTACTTAGATCAATATCATCATGTAGTTTTGTCTGTAGTCACGTTCAACCGACAACGAATGCTAAAGGTATAATAATCGTCGAGCATAAATGTTCTATTATGTAATTTTATTGGTCTTAGTTACTTTATAAAATACATGTAACAGCATAGTTATTGCGTAGATTTTAATAGATTTAATTATGTGTCAGTTCAGTAAATATCGTGGTGGTCCCTGACAAATCGTGTTTTAGTCCCTGACGGGCGGAGACAAATCTTAAATTTCAAAAATTATTTGCTATTGAATGAATTGTCTTCAAAAGGATCACATGAAACTTTCTTTTCTGACACGTAGTCATTGTTCGGTAAAAGGCAATAGTTATTCCCACAGTACTAGTATACCTGTTACAAAAGAGATATTAAGGTGAAATCATCTGCACAAATAAAAGCACAATGGTTTACTTTTTTGATTATATTTAATACTTTTAGACAACAATTTTAAGAAGAGAAGCAATCAATGAAGTGAAGATAAGCCTTGACCGAGAACCTTCTTCAAAAGCATGTAAAACTGTATGTAAAGATTCCTCTTTCATTTAAATGACCAATAGTTGTTATCATGTGATTATTATATTATTAGATTATCACGTGTCATTACGTAAGTATTATTTAAGTATACTTATTCTCATCTTTCAGTTGTGAGATCTTCAAGATTTGATTTAAATGTCAAATAAGAATAAAACTATATTAAATCTGTTTTATCGAGTTGCTAATAGGCCGAATTGTATTTTGGTTGTGCGATATTTATTGCCTAGTCATATTTAGCCTCCGAAAGAAATATGTGTTTATGTATAGATTTTAAATACACGCCTTGTAAAGGTGTGTGTCCAAACAGTCGTCAATGATTACACATACGGACTAATGCACAAAATCTGCCTAATATTTTACTATTTACTATTATGCTTCCACTTCTTTATTTCTTTATTAATATTTCTACAATTATCTTATTGTTGTAAAAAATAATTAATTTATAATAATAATAATAATAATAATAATAATAATAATAATAATAATAAATAATAATAATAAATAATAATAATTAATAATAATAAATAATAATAATAAATAATAATAATAAATAATAATAATAAATAATAATAATAAATAATAATAATAAATAATAATAATAAATAATAATAATAAATAATAATAATAAATAATAATAATAAGGAACCAAATTAAATAATATTTTTAGATTAAAGACAGGAAAGGATAGTATAATTCTAAATGAAATCAGTTTTTTACGAATCCCTTTATTCTCGCCCCATTACTGCAATCCACTTAATTTTATTTCGGCTCTCCCCGATTGCAACAGTGATGGGATGGGATTGATTTTAGTAAATGTGAAGGCCCTCTATCCTTTGAAGAATTAAGTACTTCTTAAATTTAAAAAAAAGGAACCAAATTAAATAATATTTTTAGATTAAAGACAGGAAAGGATAGTATAATTCTAAATGAAATCAGTTTTTTACGAATCCCTTTATTCTCGCCCCATTACTGCAATCCACTTAATTTTATTTCGGCTCTCCCCGATTGCAACAGTGATGGGATGGGATTGATTTTAGTAAATGTGAAGGCCCTCTATCCTTTGAAGAATTAAGTACTTCTTAAATTTAAAAAAAAGGAACCAAATTAAATAATATTTTTAGATTAAAGACAGGAAAGGATAGTATAATTCTAAATGAAATCAGTTTTTTACGAATCCCTTTATTCTCGCCCCATTACTGCAATCCACTTAATTTTATTTCGGCTCTCCCCGATTGCAACAGTGATGGGATGGGATTGATTTTAGTAAATGTGAAGGCCCTCTATCCTTTGAAGAATTAAGTACTTCTTAAATTTAAAAAAAAGGAACCAAATTAAATAATATTTTTAGATTAAAGACAGGAAAGGATAGTATAATTCTAAATGAAATCAGTTTTTTACGAATCCCTTTATTCTCGCCCCATTACTGCAATCCACTTAATTTTATTTCGGCTCTCCCCGATTGCAACAGTGATGGGATGGGATTGATTTTAGTAAATGTGAAGGCCCTCTATCCTTTGAAGAATTAAGTACTTCTTAAATTTAAAAAAAAGGAACCAAATTAAATAATATTTTTAGATTAAAGACAGGAAAGGATAGTATAATTCTAAATGAAATCAGTTTTTTACGAATCCCTTTATTCTCGCCCCATTACTGCAATCCACTTAATTTTATTTCGGCTCTCCCCGATTGCAACAGTGATGGGATGGGATTGATTTTAGTAAATGTGAAGGCCCTCTATCCTTTGAAGAATTAAGTACTTCTTAAATTTAAAAAAAAGGAACCAAATTAAATAATATTTTTAGATTAAAGACAGGAAAGGATAGTATAATTCTAAATGAAATCAGTTTTTTACGAATCCCTTTATTCTCGCCCCATTACTGCAATCCACTTAATTTTATTTCGGCTCTCCCCGATTGCAACAGTGATGGGATGGGATTGATTTTAGTAAATGTGAAGGCCCTCTATCCTTTGAAGAATTAAGTACTTCTTAAATTTAAAAAAAAGGAACCAAATTAAATAATATTTTTAGATTAAAGACAGGAAAGGATAGTATAATTCTAAATGAAATCAGTTTTTTACGAATCCCTTTATTCTCGCCCCATTACTGCAATCCACTTAATTTTATTTCGGCTCTCCCCGATTGCAACAGTGATGGGATGGGATTGATTTTAGTAAATGTGAAGGCCCTCTATCCTTTGAAGAATTAAGTACTTCTTAAATTTAAAAAAAAGGAACCAAATTAAATAATATTTTTAGATTAAAGACAGGAAAGGATAGTATAATTCTAAATGAAATCAGTTTTTTACGAATCCCTTTATTCTCGCCCCATTACTGCAATCCACTTAATTTTATTTCGGCTCTCCCCGATTGCAACAGTGATGGGATGGGATTGATTTTAGTAAATGTGAAGGCCCTCTATCCTTTGAAGAATGCCAACAGGCTTTGTTTTCAATGCCGAATGGGGAATTCCCTGGTTCCGATGCCATTTCGACGAACTTCTATAAGCATTTCTGGCCTTTATTAGGTCAGTTTGTTGTGGATTTATTTAACTTTGCTCACCAGCGCCACAATCTAGCCCCTGAACAATGCAGACGTATTATTTTTTTTATTTCGTAAGCCGGAAAGGACCCCGAACGCCTTGCTAACTCTATAGACCGATTAGCTTGGAATACGGAATATAAAATTTGCGCTAATTTACATGCAAGATCGGTCATATCATAACTGGGAAATTATTTACTGCACTTTGATTTATTTTAACTTTTAGAACAGCTTTTGTACCTGTCTCTTATACACATCTTATATATATAATTATTTTGCAAGACTTGGATCCTGTTTAGATGTATCCTCATAGAGGTATAATTAAATTTATAAAATTCTGGGGGTTGGGCAAATAAGTAAAATTAAAATTGTACCAGCCGTATGTTACTCGGATTAATGTACCTATTTTTAAATATAATGATATCACATGGCATCGTGTATTCGTAACACATGTTTATTTACATATTGTTTATATTTCACGATACCCTGCACGTTGTGTAATTATAATAGGCAGTTATTCATTGAACAGTATATAACGTACACCTGTGCATTCAACACACTAGGTTTTATTTAATTAGGCCTACATCATTTTATACGTTATGTATTTCACAATACCCGTCAACTCGTATAAGTTGAAAAAGCCTATAGTCATTATTATCATATATACTGTACTTATATAAGGTGTTTTTTGTTCCTTGCACTTTTATCTATTAATTGAGGTATTAACAACTCAATTCATCTAATTGTAGCAGTGATAAGAGATTTAATTTTAAAGTTCTCATTTTGCAATAGACCTACATTGATTTAAAATAGGCCTACGAATTGTGAATTGGTCATTATTTTGAGTTATGCTACTACCTTCTGTCCAGATATACCATTTTTAGGCTGAGTGTTTTTTCTGGGCTCACTCTTTAGCATTACGTACAGGGCATTTTTGTGAGTATAGGCCTAATATTTTTTAGTTATACCGGAAGAACAGAATGTACTAAAGTCTTTAAAAAAAATCTCCCGGTGTGAAGGCCTCTCGTGAAGAACACACACCCACTCATGGTGCCGACCAAGTCGGCTAAGGGGATCTCTTCGGTCTGCTGTGAACATAACAAAGGCATGCTCTGATCGAAGTTTTTAGGCCTGTACGGGCACTATCACTCCCATACACCATTAAGCAAAGTTACAAGGCTGACCTGGAGGTCAAAGATACTTGATAAGTAGAGACTTCGCAAAGAAATAATACATTTTTCGCGCCACACTTTTAGGCTGCTACGATCAAGAGGAAACAGTCATTAGGAAACTGTAGGTAGCGGGAACTTTTACTATGAAGGAATGGGATTTCCGAACTAATGAATACATAAGCGCAGTTGCTGAAATATGTGTTTACACAGTGAGCATGCACTTGGAAATGCTAGACAGTAAGCGAGCATGTGCACTGAGTAGGCCCTATGTGACGTTGTTGAGCCATGTCGCGCATGCGCAGTTACAAGTCTCAGGAACAAAACAGCGTCTGCGAAGAGGGTATGAAATAGAATAACCGAACTTTTTTAATTGTTAATCTACTAATTCCTTATTAAGGTATAGCAGTTTGCTCTAGAGCTAGATGGGTCGCGGAAAGGGAAAGAGTTCCAAGTACTTCTTAAATTTAAAAAAAAAAAAGGAACCAAATTAAATAATATTTTTAGATTAAAGACAGGAAAGGATAGTATAATTCTAAATGAAATCAGTTTTTTACGAATCCCTTTATTCTCGCCCCATTACTGCAATCCACTTAATTTTATTTCGGCTCTCCCCGATTGCAACAGTGATGGGATGGGATTGATTTTAGTAAATGTGAAGGCCCTCTATCCTTTGAAGAATTAAGTACTTCTTAAATTTAAAAAAAAGGAACCAAATTAAATAATATTTTTAGATTAAAGACAGGAAAGGATAGTATAATTCTAAATGAAATCAGTTTTTTACGAATCCCTTTATTCTCGCCCCATTACTGCAATCCACTTAATTTTATTTCGGCTCTCCCCGATTGCAACAGTGATGGGATGGGATTGATTTTAGTAAATGTGAAGGCCCTCTATCCTTTGAAGAATGCCAACAGGCTTTGTTTTCAATGCCGAATGGGGAATTCCCTGGTTCCGATGCCATTTCGACGAACTTCTATAAGCATTTCTGGCCTTTATTAGGTCAGTTTGTTGTGGATTTATTTAACTTTGCTCACCAGCGCCACAATCTAGCCCCTGAACAATGCAGACGTATTATTTTTTTTATTTCGTAAGCCGGAAAGGACCCCGAACGCCTTGCTAACTCTATAGACCGATTAGCTTGGAATACGGAATATAAAATTTGCGCTAATTTACATGCAAGATCGGTCATATCATAACTGGGAAATTATTTACTGCACTTTGATTTATTTTAACTTTTAGAACAGCTTTTGTACCTGGGTTAATACCCTCTATGGTGGCAGTACAGCTTGCGTATTAAATGACGGTCACTCAACAGGGTTGTTCTCTCAGACCCAACCTCTATCTGATCACAGCCGAAATTCTGACTATAAGAGTCATCATTGCCAATAACTTTAGGGGTCTCTGAGTTTTGGGGTGAGATATTGGAATCCTGCAATATGCAGACGACACCACGTTTTTTTTAGATGGAAGTCGTAATTCTTTGAATAAATTAATTAATAATCCTAAATGATTTTAATCTAGCATCTGGCCTAAAATTAACTACAGCAAGTCCCAGTTGTCAGGTTTCTTTTGCAGATGTTTCATAGTTCATTTTGTACAGAATTCTGTCCTAATAAATAAAATAAAATACATTTAATCCTGCGAATTTTTTCATATTACATTGTAAGCAATATACTTTTAACTACATACAAAGTTAAAGAGAGAACAGCTAACTCAGTCGGCTAATCTAGTGGTAGCCGCTGTGTGTGCGCTGAACTGTGGAGATCTCTAGGTCCCCGGTTCAATTCCCATCGCTGCCTCTCCTTGTGTTTCAGCTAGAGGGCTAAAATACAAGTTACAATAGCGCACCGTCTTTCGGATGAGACGTTTAAGCCGTTGGTCCCGTGTAAATTATGGTCCATGTGCACGTTAAAGAACGCAGTACACTTTTCGGAAAAGGGTAGGGGATTGTCCCCCGGTGTATTGCCCAATCACCACCAGAAGGACCCCATTGGAAATAAGTTTTCTTCTAGACTTTTGTGGCCTATATTTTTGGTGTTTACACCGAATAAATCCAATCTAATCTAATCCAATGTACAATATTAAAATAAAATTAGCTTTGCAAGTTGAAAAAGACATTTCCTCAACAAATAATGCCTCAAAAATAATGTTAAAATAACTATAAATCCCTGAGTAACTTTTTTTTTCCAAAGTGCATAAACCAGTAATAAGAATGTATATACTATAACACACCACTATGTGTGGAGTGACATACGGGTCCCCTCTGTTGTTGTGAACTTTTGTATTTATTTTGGTAACATGTATGTATTTATGTTTATTAACTGAATAAATGAGATGAGTTAGGGAAAAAAAAGATGAGACTTACGTTTCTATTATTTTAACATACAAATTATTGTCTATAATTAGTTTATCATTAAATTATTATGTTCGCAAAAATAACAATATTGCACTTACGCTGATGAGTCATTTATATCGTGTTTGTAGTGACATGCTGGGATGAGCTTTGCGTTCAAATTATTTTCTGTAGTTAGGTCCTTAAATATTTTGGTAAAAAGAGTAATAGAAATTTAATATGAAAGTATGCTAATTCAACTTGAAAATAGTTCATGTTTATACAAATATATACATTGGGTATTGTTTTGCATTATTCTCTAGCAGTACTTGTTTGAATGAATATATTCAATATCACTCCATTAGGACCAATATTAGTATTTTTTCTGCTATTAAATGTAGGAAATAATAACAACAATACTATTAATAATAATAATAATAATAAAAATAATAATAATAATAATAATAATAATAATTGATAAGAATTTATAATAATAATAATAAATAATAATAATAATAATGGTAATAATTATAATAAAAATAATATATTTTTTGCATTATTCTCTAGCTGTACTTGTTTGATTGAACATATTCAAGATAACTCCATTAGGCCTAATATTAGTATTTTTTCTGTTATTAAATGTAGGAAATAATAATAATAATAATAATAATAATAATAACAATAATAATAACAATAATAATAATAATAACAATAACAATAATAATAATAATAATAATAATAATAATAATAATAATAATAATAATAATAATAATAAATTAGTAATAACAAGTAATAACAAAGATTTAAGTGTATTTTAAAAATAACACAGTTTTTGTTTTACAGTAAATATTATTTTGAAATTTAGTTCCAAGCATGTTTTACCTTAATAACTGGGAAGTAGATCTTACAGTTGATACTTATTTTTCTATGATTCCTGTCGTACATGTCAATGGTCACAATGTCAGATGCAATAATTGGCAAGTAATTCCCACTGCTACAAAATTGAAACTATTTTTAGGAACGACTATTCATAAATCAAATCAAATCAAATTTAAATGTTTTACAAAACTACTGCTGTTACGCTGTATGAAGTCCACTAACATGCCTGGTGGACAATATAATAAAAATATATATTAAAAAACTACTGCTGTTACGCTGTATGAAGTCCACTAACATGCCTGGTGGACAATATCATAAAAATATAAATTTCTCATAAAAATCTATATGGTGGGATCTGAGCTAGCTTTTACTATTCAAGTAAGCATAAAATATAATATGTTTTTAATGAAAAAAAAACACATTTAATTGAATTTATCATGCAGTTTAACATAATTAAACTTGTAAAACACAATACAATGAGATGCCTTGTCTGATTGTTCTTTGGCACCAGACCATCCTACCACCATTCCAGGCTAACATATAAAATTAAGTATAACTTAAAACTAAACATATTGAAATAATAATTTAGGATTCATAAAATTATTAATACGCTTAATATTATTATTGGTCAGTAAGTACTATATATGGTATTATAGGTATCAATGTACCGTATATAAAATCAAGTTTGTCTTCAAAAAAATATCCTGTGATAACACAAGGCTTAAGCATTACACTCCAAGGGGTATTGGTTCAAATTATGTGACACCACGCTGTAAGACCAATAATAAGACTTTAGCTTTAAGTTATGTTTATTAAATGGGTCTTGGGCAGAATTTCTGAACCATTAGTGTTCAAAAGCAGGACACATCAGAAACCAGAGCATTAGTTTCAAATGTTGGTAACATCTAGTTACATACAAGGTGGACAAGAGGGATAACACTAGATACCATTATCTTTAATACGCTACTATAGGCCAACCTTTTAATCACCACAAACTAAGACTACAGAAAGTATACATTGTTCGATCACAAAAGGACCAAAGTTAGCCCATATTCCACCATATACATTTTTATGATATTGTTCACCGGGCATGTTAGTGCACCTCATACAGCGTAACAGCAGTAGTTTTGTAAAACATTTAAATGTGCAAACAAATTTTAGATGCCGTTGGTTGCAATTTTATCATGCAACATTACTGTGTGAACAAAACATCACAGTTGCAGACAAAACACATGGTTTTATTCCGTTTCAAATTGTTTGCGGTATTTTTATTTTCATACAACAAATTATATGATCCATATTTCAAATCATTTTTTGTTAATCTGAGTTAAATTATTTTGGAAACGTAAAAGTTAATTAGTACCTTTTACGTGGCTGAATGTTGAAGTAGGAAGGTAATAATGTTACTTTCACGTATATTTAGTATTTTCAAATTTTAAGAGAATCTGGATGAATTTATTTTCTAAATATGACACATGTCTTGCGCTCAATACGTTTGATACACCAAAATATTATTTTATCATGACAGACAGTCGTGAATATTATATCATTATTATCACCTAAATTGAATATCTGCCGATCTTCTTTAATAAACTGGAATATGAGATAGAAAATGCTTACACAGTTTCCAGTGTATCATCATAGTCAATAATTAGACTTGCAGCCAATTCGAATGGTCCGTCTAAATAGAGACAACGGTTTTGCTTGATAAGTACTAATTAAAATACAACTACGACAACAGAACATCAGCTGCTCCAACATCTGCACCAGAAGCAGTACCAACAACAGTGGCACAGTGGCAACAACAGCATTGGCACCACCACATTCACCACCAGCATCATCACCAGCTACACTAACACCAGCAGGACCACAATGCACCAGCAGTATTAGCAACAGCAACAACAACAACATCAACAATATAAGTATGCATGTGGCGATCAATGTGTTAGACTAAAAGCTCCTTCAGTTATTTTATTCAAAATATGAAGAGCGGTAAAAGTGATCCTAAAATCATTTAAAATGAAATTGGAGGAAATAGTAGAGTAAGTATTGGTTGCCAAATATTTATGATGAATTACTTCACTTGCAACTACCGGCTGGGGAACATCTCACTGAGTTTTTTTTTTTTTTTAGAAAAATGTACAACTAAACTAATTACATACACCAGTCCAATGACAAATTTGTGCATATTACAAGGTTTACTTTTCCACTCACAATACAAAAAAAAATAATTAAAGTGTTATTGTTATTGTCATCCTTATGCTTATCATTGCCTTTGTTGTTGTCGTCATCATCATCATCTTCATTATTATACTACTACTGTTAATGTTTTTAATATTTCATTTTTTATATTTCAGAATACAATTTAAGACAAGATAAAAAAAAACCATAAAAAATAGGATTCAGTCAAAGACTTACAAAAAAAAAAGCAAAAGAGACTTACAAAAAAAAAGCAATTATCAATGTAGCTCAAAATATTCATTAATAAGTTTGCAAACGGTTGCTCCTTTCAATTTGAAAATCAAAATTATAGACAATGAGATTAAAAACAGGCCACAGAAAGTAAATATCAAGAGCAACCTTATAACTGTATAATAGTGTGACATACTTAAAATATACCTTTTAATCTTAATCAGAATATAGCAAGTTATTTAAAAATAAATAATTATAACTTAATTCAAAGCAGCTTGTGGTTGCTGATTGCTAAATAAAATGGTGTATATCATTCCAAACTCTAGCATTAGCAATTTAAATATCATTTTCGATACACCTATACTTTGGAATTGGTTTGACAAAATTTTAAATATTTCACGATCTTGTAGAGCAGTAGGCCTAGTTACCAACCTTTTTGCGTTTGCAGACCGCTCTGGACATGTAAAAAGTCTTGACAGACTCCCATGTCTAAATATATTCATTTTTTATATAACAACATTTTATTTTATGTATATGGCCCATCTAGGTGGCCGAAACTGGCACTGTCAGATTAAAAATTTGAAGGTAATTTTCTTTTATTCCCCATTTAACTTTAAATTTCGGTAAAATTTAGGGCGACCCATGTTTGATATTCCAACAATAAGATTATGGAAAAAAGATGATTTGCCAAATTACAATACCTGGGATCTTGGAATTCAACATAGACAACACAGGAGGGGGGGGGGGGATTTTACAGATAGGTTAATTGCACTACCTCATTTCCACCATGGATGGGGCTGAGGTACGAAATTGTTATGTTTATGGGACTTCTAGAATGCCGGGAATGACACTGTCAGACTAAAACTTGGAATGTAATATTCTGTTATCCCCATTTACTTTTAATTTTGTCAAATTTATGGCTTCATCCTGAAGTAAAAGCAATAAAAGAGAAAACACGGAAACAAGATGTATATTACCTGCTGATTTCTTTACTAAACATCTTTATCCCTTTTTTTTAAATAAATATATATATAAAAACTAATTAAAAAAAATCACATCATCAAAACAAATATTTTAATATAATTATTTAATTTAATTAATATAATATTAAAATATAATTCCAGTTAAAACAATTTACAGTGAACAAAGTCTTGGTTATTTCATTATTGTCAAGGCATAATCACAATGTTGTAAAGCAAGAAAATATTTGGAATCATGTACAAGTTGTTCTAGTAATCTAGCGGACCCCATTTTTTTCGTGGACCTCCAAACGTTTCGCGGACCCCCCCCCCACTTTGGACCCCTTTGACTTGGTAGACCCCAATTGTTTTTTCGCGAACCCCTAATATTGGAACCACTGTTGTAGAGTATCCATGTAGATCAAATGCCATTTTCAGTTCATCAGGTAAGCGTCTGGGTGCGATCATTGATTCAAGGACATAATCATAGATATAATTATTATCATCATCATCATCATCATCATTATCATTATCATTATTATTATTATTATTAATATTTAACTGTTCGTTGTTTCATGCTCGATATTGGGATTTAGATGTTTTATTGTTTGATGGTAATATTAACAGACACAAACCCCAAAATCCCAATTTAATAAAAGATAAGTAATAAAAATTGCTGTAAGCGTGACATAATATAATGAACTTTTATTAGTAATGTTGTGATTTCGGTTTTAGTTAAAATTATGCATACCTTCTTTCAGTGGATCAACAACTGATGTCGATAATGTGATGCTATCCGGGTCAGATGTCACATGAACTTCGGATACTTCCGGTGTTTCTAACACACATTTTTTACCACCTACAAATGCTGATTTTAATAGTGTATAAAATTCAAAGAAATATTAAATGCTAATATGGGATATGCTTTATTAGTCATTAGTCAGTAGGGCCTAAAACGAAATGACGTCACATAAAATTCATTTGCGCATATGAGAACGTTGAATTCTCATTGTGGTCTGGATTATAGCACGCAGTTTGGACTGTATTTACGTTGTGCAGAAAACGCAGAATGGTCAAGGATGAGTCAATCCGTTCTAAGATTACGTCGTCCTTCAAATCAGGAGCTCCATATTCCGTCTTCCTTACCTTTACACGTTGCTGGCTTGTGATTACAACCTGTAGTAGATGTAGTAGGACCAGCAGCAGCTCCAAAATATAAACAATTTCTTTTGTTATATTCAGGGGTGGCGCCAGAATTTGCCCGAAGCAGGGCCGAGGTCCCCGACGGGGGTGGGGGCCGGAGCCCCCGACGAGGTGCTAGATTTCCTTGACGAAAGCAAAGTGGGCATGGTCTAGCTTCGATTAAAAGGTTCCGAAAGTGGTCCTAGGTGCGAAGCCCTGGTTATATTGTTTAAAAAGAAAAATCTTTATTTACAAATATCAAAACACCCAATGTGTTGGATTAGATTGGATTGGATTTATTCGGTGTAAACACCAAGGAGAATCTGATCTGGTATATTTTCCTTCGACATCATTAAATACATTACTATCAACCCTAGACACTCGTTTAATCTTAAGTTTGTTAATACTTATTCTCGTACTAATTCCTTGAAGTTTTCTGTTTTTAATTCCTTTCCTCGTACATGGGATAGTTTACCCAAAGAGGCCGGAGACATGCTTTTGTTTGGTATTGGGCCTTTTTAAAATAAACTCTAAGAGCATTTTCGGGAGACGTAAAGCTGGCAATTTTTTGGCAATAACTTTTTATTTTTATTAAGAAATTTGAAAAAAAAAATTAATTGTTTTATGGAGTATTTCATCCTTGTTATTATTATATTTTTATTATTTTAAAAAATGATTTGTATTTTTGTATGAAATTTTTATCTCTATTTTTTCTGTTGTGATATATTTATTGTGTTTGGCGACCCACTCGATAGAGATTTGAATCTCCTTTTGGGAAGCCTGCCTCCCTTTTGTCTGATTTTTGGTGTGTTATTTTTGTAATATGTTGAGGCAAATAAATTGAATAGCGTGAGGCTGCAAGTTAGAATCCTGCTCAAGACACCTTTTATATCATTTTTTTTTCAATTCTTTAAAAATATCCCTACTAATTACTGTAACAACGAACTGACAATATCCAGTGTTATACATATACGACACTAAAAAGGATAGCAAAAAATAGGCAACTAAAGTTTACTTTTCCCTGGAATACACATTAAGCAAAGACACAATAAATAATAAAAGGTTTTTGAAAATATTAACATAACATAAATATTAACAGTGCTATTATTGTTCATATGCGAGCACTGTTCTTGACATAACGATTTTTACGCAGCTAACCTGATTTTAAATATTATTTATTATGATTTCCTAGCTGCAGCTATAAGCTAATACCCACAGCTACACGGTGTGTGAGTCAGTTGATTAGAAGAAGGTGCCCGGGTTTTTTCTCTTCCTGGTCTAATGGTACGATACTCGCCTTCATAGCGTGAGGCTGCAAGTTGGAATCCTGATAAAGACACATTTTTATTCATTATCTATGATTTTTTTTTTCATTTCTTCGAAAATATCCCTACCAGTTACTGTAACAACGAACTGACAATATCCAGTGTTCCCATTACAATCGGTTGCTGAATATCCTACGATGGTATCGCCGACTGTAAATTCATCTCCACTTGTGTAGTTAGCATTTGCCTCAGTATCACCACAACAGGTGTCAGTTGCATTAGCTGGATACCAATAGGCATTCATTGAAGCTACGCCAGAGTCAGTGCACATCATGACGTTATCTGGACAATCCAGTATAGGAGCAACCTCATCTAACATAATCAAGAAAGTATAATTCAGAAATTACAAATAAAATCGTTTCGACTTTATTAATAAATAAAATAAAATAATTAAACTCACCTATAATGATAATGTTGAATGTACAGTACGCAATGTTGCCGTAATAATCAGTAGCATTACATGTTACAACAGTATTCATTTCAGAAAATGTGCTCCCATTTCTATAGTCACATACCGGTAGAATAATCTCCCCAGAGTTGTCCGTAACAGTAGGTTGTGTCCAAGTGGGCGATGCCATACAATCATTATCACTTACTAGATTTTGGCTTGGTGGACATTCAAGATCTGGTGGTTCCATGTCTGTCAAGTGTGAAGAAAGTAACTTTGATCACTAGCAAATTTGTTAACTAACAAAATGTGCTTTGGTACAAGTTAAAATAATTAGATTTATTTTAATTATATGTTTTGTACACCATTAACAAGACTGCAACAGAAATCAAAAGATTCTGTATACGTACAGCAACAATGCAAGTTTTGAATAAATATTTTGTATGATTTTTTTTAAATAATGAATTCTATTTTTGATCTTTTGTAACTATTTGTAATTCAATAATAACAAAATAATGATTGTAGTGATAATAATAAGAATAATTTTAACTTAATACTGATTTTCTAACAGTTTGTACTATTTGTAAAATGATTAGCAATGATATGTTTGTGTCCCAACAGCCGTTGGCTGAAGCGATTCTGCTAATAGTCTGCCACCGACAATCAGCAAGATAATGTCGCGTTGTCAAGCGCTCACACAGAGTGGAAATTGATTTGTCGCTCAGTGGTCTATTTTTGTCGTACGACACAGTGTGTGCACGGTTTTATTCAGCACACTGGGATGGAAATTTTTTTATTAAACTCAGCGGTGTTTAATATTTTGTAACATAACCATATCCAAAACTTAATATTCATAACACGTTATAATTTCATTGCGGATTTTTTGGGCTCAGTACGGACTCTTAACGTATGCATATGGATCTGTGTGAATCTGATCATCTACCAATAAAATTTAGTATAATGTTTGGTTTTAACAATACTAATAACCCAGCAAACACAAAACGTTCTTATAACGTTCACGAACGTTGTGGTTAAGTATGTCACAAAATAACGTTCACACAACGTTGTAAGAACGTTCAAACTTTGTGAAATTAGGTTATAAGTACGTACATATGGTTCTACAAAATAACTTTTTATCACCAAACTGTAACGTTAATATAACGTTCTTATAACGTAATATTGTTAGCTGGGAATAATATAGAAAATAAAACAACATGTGAAATATGTCAAACATATACTAAATAGGCCTACGTTTGGGATGAAAATATAAAAATAGACGAAAACTTAGTTTTAAAAAAAGGAATATATAAACAATTATAGATAGCATACACAAAAGTATGGAAACAGGTGATTGTGAAACTTTAATCAGTAAACTTACTGGGGTAATATATTAGAAAAAAGAAAATCGGATTCTCGATCATAGCATGATAGCAAACATAAAAACCAATGAATGCGACTGCCATTGAGATCATTTAAAAAATATAGAAACGATATAACAATGTATATATAACATGTAAGAGAGAGAACAAAGATTTGATAAGGAAAAAGAGAAGCTATTACTCTTATATTATTAAATGAAAAAACATAAAAAGGGACCAGGTATGTGGAAAATAAATAATAGTGTTCTCAAAGATGAAGAGTACGCTATAACTATAGTACAAATAATAGAAAATACAAAAAAAATTAATGTAATCTCAGCCCAGACATGCTATGGGAATACATAAAAGTAAAAATTAAAGAATTCACGATTAAATACTGTGTAAGAAAGAAAAATGAAAGACTGCAAACAAAAGGAAATTGACCACAGAAATTAATGATCTCACTAACACATTATATAATAGAAAATAAAACTCAGGATATTCAGTACTTTTATGACTAGTTTATTTATGACAGTACACAAGCTTTCGTGCACACAGTGCACTTCTTCAGGTGAATGTGAAGTTAACATAAACTTGGAGGATAGACCTAAAGCAAGTTAATTATTCAAGCATACAATTAAGACAAAAGGACTAAAGCATAAGCAATAAACAGTATAAAAATGAAAAAAAAAAAAACAGGTCAGGGGTCAGAAGTATTATCAAAGTCAGTGAATATAACATATAGTAACTAATATATGTAGTAAAAATAACCGTAGTACAGTATCTTAAGTCTGGACATCATATAGTGATATACAGTACTAATATATTATAAAAGCATAGTACAAATATAACGGTATAAATATAGAACCGTAGTTATATAGTGTCTGAACATCATATAGTAAAATCAAGGACTGTAATCAGATGACATATAATAATAAAATAGCATGATAGATATATAAAATGAATTTTGGGAAAACGCCGAACGTTTTACAATTGTGTAAAAAATGATAATCCAATTCTGCTTTAATGAAGCGTAGGGATATCTTCTCATACTTCCTAAGCAAACAAATTGGCAGGTCTTCCGAACTAAAATCTTTAAATGATGGAACCAAACGGACGCAAATTGATTAAAAAATACAACACATTTTAAGAAAAGAACTAAGGATTTAATTGTAGTAAACATGTTTCGGGTGTTATCTCTCACCCATTATCAGTACAAACTGAAAGGCGAAATAAACGGAAAGAAAAATCTTGTCATTCTTAACAAAGGGTATTTATACAAAGAATGAATGAATATTAATTAGTGAAAACAAATTTTTACCAATTAAGGTATCGTAACGATCGTTCTAGATAATCATATGCAAGTTGTATAGAACACCTTGCATACATTAGTACTGTATGCTAATTGCAAAGTTGTAAGCTTAAATGTTTGAGTTGAACGTTGAGATTTGGACTGTTCCATTTAATGTGTAGTGATTCTTTTATTCGTAATCTAATTTCACTGTTGCCCTGGTCAATGACGTTGAAGCAAGTGGTATTAGCTAATGTTTTGCATTTTTTATTTTCATTTAGATGTTTTAAAATGTGTGAATTTTTGTCTTTGCCAAGGTGTTCGTCAATCCTAGTACTCAAGTGTCGGCTAGTATAGCCTATATAGGTGGATTACATCCACTACATTTGAATTTGTACACTACCATAGAGCGAAGATTACTAGGGATTGCGTCCTTGATACTGAACATGTTTTTTTATTTTTGTAGTGGTGAAAACAATGTTTAATTTCAATCCGGTGCAATGTTTAGTTACAATATTTACAATATTTTGTATCTTGTATTTAATATCATCAGAATATTTACCAATAAATGGAAGTTTGAAATACATGACTTTGTGAGCATCATCATTAACCTTTGATTTAGTGTAGTTAGTTACACTAGTATCAATGTATTGTTTACAAATTTTATCAATGACATATGAGGGGTAACCATTTTTTTAACAGTATGCCTTTTAGATTCATCAAATCATCATGGAAGCCCTTCCAACTATTATTGATTTTATAAATTCTGTCAATAAGTGTTTTGATTAGTCTCGGCTTATAAGTTTGTGGACAGAAACTACAAAATGCCAAAAGGAGACCAGTGAAAGTACTTTTTCGCCTTTCAGTTTGTACTGATGATGGGTGAGAGAGAACACCCGAAACATGTTTACTACAATTAAATCCTTAGTTCTTTTCTTAAAATGTGTTGTATTTTTCATCAATTTGCGTCCGTTTGGTTCCATCATTACGGATTTTAGTTCGGAAGACCTGCCAATTTGTTTGCTTAGGAAGTATGAGAAGATATCCCTACGCTTCATTAAAGCTGAATTGGATTATCATTTTTTACACAGATATATAAAACTATGAAAACACTAATGGCAGAATATGAGATATAGAAAAAGCCTACAGAGTGTGAATATTATGTTCTATAATGTGAGAAAAAACCATAGTCCTTATTAAGGCCCAGCTCTACACAATTAAGCTTATTGATAAATTTCTGTTCATCAATTTCTCTTTCTAGGCTGTTTTGAAGTTAGGTTTTTTAATCACTGCAACCTTAAGGTCGAGCATGGAGTGTGAATTAGAATTGAAATGTTCTGCTACTGGTTTGTGGTTGTGCTTAAGTCGTATGTCCGATTTGTGTCCATTGAGTCGTTGTCTGAGGGATTGTCCTGTTTGTCCTATATATACTGCTTTAGGACATTTTTGACATGTGATTGCGTAGATGACATTAGTAGATGAGCATGAGTATGTGCCTGTTATGGATATGCTTTTACCATTAGGTCCTGTTATTTTGTTGTCAGTGTTGATATGGGGGCAAAGTAAGCATTTGTTACTATTGCAAGGAAAAGTTCCGGGTGTATTATTATCAGTAGGGTGTTGGCTGTGAATGAGTTGTTGTCGGAGATTGGGTGGTTGTCTGTATGCAATAGTGGGTTTGTCTGTGAAGACGTCTGCAAGGTATGTGTAACTGCTGTCGCATATTGGTTTTTCTATTTTTCTCTAAAGTTTTGGCAAGGTAACGGGCACTACGCTACTGCAGGAAAGGAATGTTCTAGAACCACCGAATGCAAGCTGCTAGAGAAATATTCGTAAACAAAGATTTCTGTTTAGAATAGTTTTCATAAACACTGTTGAAGGTTAGTTAAAGTTAACCATTTATGTGTTACATATAATACTTGTTGATTAGTCCAGTATTGATGGAATAAGTTATGTTATATATGCTCCTAGGACTGGTGTTTTCCCAGGTATGATATAGGCCTAGGGCCTATGCTGCTAGTTAACGATCATAATGCACGAATGGTCTAACGGCGTCGTATGCACGTTCAATTCAGTTGTAATACCATGATAACTATTTTCTAATTGCTCAAATTTATCTGCTGATAACATCATAACAGTCATTAAGACGTCGACTAGATGAAAGAAGAATATTTGGTGATTCTATTGATTCATGTTATAATATTACCATAGGCTGATACGATGCTATGTAGGTTGTTTAAATTAAGTAATCATCGTAAAATATGATAGATAGTGCGCCACCCTTGCGTACGGGTAGAGCTGCAACGGGTAAATAGCTTGTTGATACATTCACGTTTTACATGTATAACACTGACAGTTTATATGATTGTTTAATGGTTTTTATTTTTGTCGCTATATGATTGGTGAATGTTTTCTTTTGTTTTTTACTTAGCAGAACGAGTTTACCGGGCTATGTACCCACACTAAGTTTACGTTTGTACACGGTATCAATATTCATAGGTTTGAGATGAATAAATGCCCACTACATACAGTAAACCTAAGGGTACGAAGATTTTGTTTTTGGAGTGTTAGCACATGACACAAAACAACTTTAAGAGGCGC